GTATACAATCGAATTATACAGGGTGTCCCAGAACTCCCTTTACGCCCGAAAATGAGGAGGAGCTGAGGTGATTTTAAACAACTTTTTCCTTTGCGAAAAAGTTGTCCGAGGCGTGGTTATTGAGTTATTAACAAAAATCCCCGCCCAATCAGAGCGCGAGTATACAAGGCGGGCAGGAGCGCGATAACCGCCTCGTGCGTTGCCGCGCCCGTATGTCGCGCTCACGACGAGAGTACAGGTTGGAACAAAAGTTTCATGCAAAAAGAAACTAAGAAATTGATGAAATATTACAGAAAACAAAGCAATTAGTCGTTAGTCACGTTCGCTCAATAAATGTAACATACTGAATGAAATAACTAACAACTTTATAAATTACACAGTATGTAAAGCATAAAAAATGGGAAAATAATGAGAGTTAGACTTACTTCTTGGTTGGTAGGTGCACCTGCTCGTAGAAGAACGTCAATGGGTCAATGGGTCGACCTTCGACACTCGAAGATAGGACACATGGCTCGCAGCAGCTGATGCTTGGAGTAAGTCAGTGACCTGCACCCGATGGTTTTTTCCTTATCATCACGATCATTGTCACTTTCCCACTGGCAAATTTTCACAAAACAAAAATTGTCACTTTTACACTTTCCAAATTCACTGCCACTTTACATTTTACAAATCCACTGTCACATTGCACTTTGCAATTGAAAATTTGCATACACGTTTTCATTTTAATTCTTAGCTCCGATCGGAATACTGTTCGCGGAACAATTCCACTGCCGCTCTCGGATTATAACTCACTTACGCGTAAATAACGAACATATTAAAATATTCCGTGTTCGTTAAGGCACGCACCGTTCTGTTTAGTAACGCAAGGCGAAGCCAACTGATCGCTCGCTCGAAGATTTTCCTCTAGGAAATCTTTCCTCACTCGGGGGACAAGTTCGTTACAGAAAATGTGTTTGTATTTTTCAACTAAACCCGACCTTCGTTTCTTTGTCGTCCTTAAAAATTCTTCACGTGCAGAACACTCGAACCGATGACAAGAGACAGTTCTCAGACTTACACTTACCAGATGCCAAGGCCGAATTGCCTTTTGTCGTACACATCCTGCTTGTCCCCCGAGTGAGGAAAGATTTCCTGGAAGAAAATCTTCGAGCGAGCGATCAGTTGGCTTCGCCTTGCGTTACTAAACAGAACGGTGCGTGCCTTAACGAACACGGAATATTTTAATATGTTCGTTATTTACGCGTAAGTGAGTTATAATCCGAGAGCGGCAGTGGAATTGTTCCGCGAACAGTATTCCGATCGGAGCTAAGAATTAAAATGAAAACGTGTATGCAAATTTTCAATTGCAAAGTGCAATGTGACAGTGGATTTGTAAAATGTAAAGTGGCAGTGAATTTGGAAAGTGTAAAAGTGACAATTTTTGTTTTGTGAAAATTTGCCAGTGGGAAAGTGACAATGATCGTGATGATAAGGAAAAAACCATCGGGTGCAGGTCACTGACTTACTCCAAGCATCAGCTGCTGCGAGCCATGTGTCCTATCTTCGAGTGTCGAAGGTCGACCCATTGACCCATTGACGTTCTTCTACGAGCAGGTGCACCTACCAACCAAGAAGTAAGTCTAACTCTCATTATTTTCCCATTTTTTATGCTTTACATACTGTGTAATTTATAAAGTTGTTAGTTATTTCATTCAGTATGTTACATTTATTGAGCGAACGTGACTAACGACTAATTGCTTTGTTTTCTGTAATATTTCATCAATTTCTTAGTTTCTTTTTGCATGAAACTTTTGTTCCAACCTGTACTCTCGTCGTGAGCGCGACATACGGGCGCGGCAATGCACGAGGCGGTTGCCGCGCTCCTGCCCGCCATGTATACTCGCGCTCTGATTGGTCGGGGATTTTTGTTAATAACTCAATAACCACGCCTCGGACAACTTTTTCGCAAAGGAAAAAGTTGTTTAAAATCACCTCAGGAACCTCCCATTAAAATATGTACCACTAGTCCTGGGACACCCTGTATAACAAAATTGCACACGATGAAAAGAACGGAGCGAGGTCTACCTTCTAGAACGGTTGAACACAAAGTGTCATCCTTAACGACGTTCGGCATCGTCCTCAGAACTACATAATTCCTACAAGTGAGGATGCTAACAAACATAGTGTTTTACGCCTTCGACAATGAGGAGAAAGTCGCTTGTAAAACAGATGTTTTATTGCATCAACACTTTGAATCTTCGTCAAAAAGACATGACGAAGTACGGGAAATGACGAAGTATGACATGACAGAAACATGAGGAAGTACGGAAAAAAATCTCGTAAAAATCAAGACTATCGTCACAGCTTTTATTTTCAAAAACGTGGTTTAAATAATAAAACCATTTTAGTACATTTTGTACAGGGCGTCCCAGAACTAGTGTTAGGCCTTAAAAAGAGGTAGGAGCTGAGGTGATTTTAAATAACTTTTTCCTTTGCAAAAAAGTTGTCCAAGTGCGCGGTTAACGAGTTATTAACAAAAAACCGGAACCAATCAGAGCGCTCGTATACAAGGCGAGCAGGAGCGCGATAACCGCCTTGTGCGTTGCCGCGGCCGTATGCCACGCTCGTGACGAAATGTAGGATTAAAACAAAAGTTACATGCAAGAACAACTAAGAAATCGTTTAAATATTACAGAAAACGAAGCAATTAGTCGTTAGTTACGTTCGCTCAATAAATGTAACATAATGAAATAACTAACAACTTTATAAAACACAGAGTAGCTAAAATTATAAAAAAATGGGAAGAGAATTAGAATTGAACTTAATCGTTCCTCTTTAAGTTCACCTGCTCCTAGAAGAACGTCACTGGGTCAATGTGCCGAAACCCGGTACTTGAAGATAAAACACATGGGCAGCAGTGATGTTTAGAGGTCAGTGATAGATCAGATAGATGTGACCATGTGTTTTAGTTTCGAGTGTCAGGCTTCGGCACATTGACCTACTGAAATTCTTTTAGGAGCACGTGAACTTAAAGACGAACGACTAATTTCAACTCTAATTCTTTTCCCATTTTTTTACGCTGACCCATTGACCGTGGCCCATCGTTAGCAGGTGCACTTGCGAATGAATGGGTAAGTCTAAATCTCTACAGTTTTTACATTTCCTTTTTAATTCAATATTCCCTGCGACTTGTTAATTCCTCATTTATCCTATCATCATCCATCAATTATCAACAATCTATCTCATCCATTCCACGTGAATAACGATTAAGTGTATTAATTGTTATTCATAATAACAAACGGACAACAATTTCCTTGCATTGTTATTAATGTAGTTTGTTATTCGTCATTTTCTTAAAACGCTTCGTTCCGAGCGGAGCGCTTGTTCAAACGCGAGAAAAGTCGCCCGGCTGTCTCCGAGCCAGCGCTCCCGAAACGGAGACCGCCTCAACCGAGCGCTCTGATTGGTCCGTGTTTTTTGTTAATAACTCGGTAACCAAGCCCCATTTCGTATTTTACCAAAGGAAATTGTTGTTCACAATGCTCCTCCCCATCTGCCATTTTCGGCTCTAACAATCTTTCCGGAACACCCTGTATAT